TTGACATGACCTACCGAGCTGGAAAAGCTCACACTAATGCTGACGCCCTTTCACGACTACCACCTTCAGTAGCCAGCGTCGACCAACCACCAATATCGTCCGCCAAACACTCGTCCGCACGGCCACCAACCCCACGGGGAGAACCTTCGGATACTGCGGTCCCTGTCGACCAACCACCTCCGGTCGAACAACACTCCGTGCAACAGAGCAACCCACCCGATGCATCACCGCCACCCCCACCAACAGATTCGGCAGATGACGCCGTGTCACCCGATAACGTGCGGTTGGCGCAGGAAGCAGATCGGGACATTGCAGAAGTTCTCCGATGGAAACAACGCCGCCAGGGCAAACCTCCATTGAGTAGCATCAGCCAGCGAGGCCGATTTCTGAAAGCCCTGTGGGACCAGTACCATTCGCTCGTAGTCAAGCGCGGCGTCCTCTACCGACGGTGGAAACCCAACGCGAACTGCCAAATGATCTTCCAGCGGGTAGCCCCGAAGAGTCTAGTGCCCTCCATCATGCGAGAGCTCCATAACGGCCCGTTTGCTGGACACTTGGGTATCGCGAAGACGTTGCGACGCGTATATGTCCGCTTCTATTGGCCGGGCATGACCCAGGAAATCAAGAGATGGTGTCGGGCTTGCCCTGAGTGTGCCACGCGAACAGCGCCAACACCTTCGGCCCGTGCACCCCTGAAGCCGATCCGTACCAATCAGCCATTCGAGAAGGTTGCCATGGACCTGACCGAACTGCCCAAGTCTAAGAAGGGCAATCGATACTGCCTCGTACTACAAGACTTCTTTACGAAGTACGTTAACGCCTATGCTATTCCACGCCAAGACGCATCCACAGTAGCACAGGCCATCTTTACCCACTATGTCAGAGAACACGGTATTCCTTCCTCGCTACACTCAGACCAGGGTCGACAATTCGAGGCGGAGACTATGAGAGAGCTGTACACGACGCTCGGTATTGCTAAAAGCCGTACAACACCGTATCACCCCCAAGGGGACGGACTCGTGGAACGTTTTAATAGAACGTTAAAGTCAATGCTTTCCAAATATGTCTCGTCTACCGGCGACGACTGGGACGACCACCTGCCGCACATCCTATTGGCGTACAATACGTCCGTACACGCATCTACTGGCTACACTCCCTTCTACCTCGTACATGGGAGGGAAGCAAATCTGCCCGCCGACGTGATCTTCGACGCGAGACCACATACCCCCACGAATTCGACCACGTCGTACGCCAGAAGCCTGAAAAGCAGCCTCCGCGCCGCCTTCGCCCGCGTGAGACAAACACAC